TACCTACACCACCGAAAATTCCGCATCCAAATCCAAAACTCCCTTTCCACCACCCGTCCCATGGAGGCCAGTGTCCCATTTACAACTCCGGCATCCCACATCCCCCTACACCAACATATACCTATACGCCGATGACCTGACAATCACTTCCCAATCCGTCAATCCTAGATATTCCGCCTCCCTCCTTCAAAATTCCCTAGACCAACTTGGTGGAAAGTCAAAATTAAACGAAAGTTCGGCTATCCCTTTTACCAAACGAAAAATCCCACAAAACCTCGACAGGCTGACACTATCCCAGGAGCCCTGGGATCGACAAACACGATACCTGGGCGTGACGATGGACCAGCGTCTCACGTGGAAACCGCACATCGTGGAGACGGTGGCGCGAGTGAAGACCCCCGGCTAACTTACGCCTACAGTGCGTGGGGTCACACGAGAAAAAGCTACTTAAAGTCACTACAGGCTGTGGAAACATAGCCCTCTGCACGGCCACCAACGCGCCCTGGTACGTAAGAAACACTAACATATTACGAGACTTAAAATACACAAACGCTACACAGACAATAACACAAAACGCGGCTAGACATGACAATCCCCCCCTCAGGCAAACCGTTGACTACTTATCCGACATGACCGACAAACACAAAAGACCTAGACACCAACTTTTTGACCCTGGGTGACCACCCTAGCGATATCCCCCCTCTCCTGCCCGCCAACCTTTTCTGTTTCAGAAACCGCCAGGATCAAGAAACGAAGACAACGACACATACACCCCCATACCCTCCTTACTCCTTCCCTCCCGCGCTAGTCCAAGGGCCACCTTAGCAAAGCGCGCATTACCCTACCCAACCATACCATACATAAAAATGCTACCATCCCCGGAGTTTACACAGACGAGCCGGCGGAGCAAGAAGTGTGCCAGAAGAAAGGGCCCTAGCCGGTAGGGCCAAGCTAGGACAAAAGGAGGTCCCACAAAGCGCCTACAACGGCCGTATTTGCGGTAAGGGTAGACGACGGATGGGACCCACCTACGAAGGCTGTCCAGGCCTACACGATCCGTAGCCTCTAGGACTACAACATAAAATCCTCAGTTCACAACTAGAACTCGAAGAGCTCCAGTACCACCCTGAGGACTACCCCGAGGACCTGAAACCGCTTTCCTGTATTTATAAGTTCTGCCGAGATTGAACTCTAAGTGCTAAATTGTGCGGCGACGGCGTTGTCAGATGACGGGTTAACTGAGAGTAGAATAGCTGTGCCGATTCTGCTCCACAAATCAAGATGACGACTGGAGCAAGATCGGCTTAGCTTTTAGCCGACTACGTCACAACCGGCTACGTCTGCGCGGTAGACGTTGATAACCGTTCGTGCCGACTAGAAGTATGGTTTATGTACGGATCTATTATTAGTAGTAGGGTTGTTGATGATTTTTTAGCATTTCTTCTGACACAATAAGTGATCAAAAGCGGGTTGTGTTTAACTTGAATAATAATAATACTTATATACTTATGGACCCTGATGGCAGTGATAGAGCTCACTCAGAAAAGAATTAACGGTGTGTCATTTACTATAAGTAATATTTTAGATAATCATCGATCGCGTATTTACTATAAAAGGTTTTGTTAACATATTTCCAACTATAAAATAAAGTTTTACTGCTTCAGACCTGTTTTCTACTGGTTCAGACCTATTTTTTAGCATAAGCTGTAACCTGATATATTATTTCCTTTATAATTGCAGTGTTAGTAAAAATTGCAACTTGACTAGTGTAAGTTGTTATTAGCTTATTGGAATGCAGGAAGTTACCAAGGTTATCAAAAATAAAAGACATGTTACTTAACATTTTAATTTATTACTTATATCAGACAGTACATTAGTTTGATAAAAGTAAAGATATTATAAAGATATCATTAGATACATCACAAAAAGAACATATAATTTTATTTATATTTAGAGAAATTTTTTAGACTATTCAATCATTTACAATATCTAATACATTATAATAGTACATACAAAATTCCAACTAATCTAGCATAGTTATTCTATGAGAAATCACACAAGTATCGAGTTTTGACAGTTCTTCCACATCGTGAAGGAAAAGATCGATGCATCGATGCGCATGTTGTATTTTATGATCTGCACTATTTTCATATTTTCATAGACTACTTGGGTAACTGTCGTGTAATCTCCACAACGATGAGTCACAGGTTCATACTCACCAGGCCAGTCTTGTAGGGGTGTTTGGAAGAAATCTTTTTTCAAACGTTCCAGTAGCTCCAAGAGAGTTTGCCATTCATAGGTAGAAAATGATAATTTATTGCCATTACCATTCCTTATAATTATTGCGGATCTGAAGGATCTAGATGGACTTAATCCACACTGTATTTGAATGTTGACATTAGATATTAGTGGAAAAACATTACTTAGCAAGTAAATCTGCTCTATCCATGCGGCTTCTTCAAAAAAAAAAATTTGCAGTGTTAGTAAAAATTGTAACTTGATAGTCTATTTCCTTTAATACTGCCACGCTAGCATAAACTGTAACCCGATATATTACGCGGCAATAGGCGGTAAATTAAAAAATCTAGAAAAATATTTAAAAACGCTTGTGCAATAGAGATCCGAGGGAGGGTGAGAGGAGAGAGGTGGGGTTGGCGGTAAATTTAAAATTCAATCTTGCTCGGCAATAAAATTGGCGGTAAATTAAAAAATCTAGAAAAATATTTAAAAACGCTTGCGCAATAGAGATCGGAGGGAGGGGGAGAGGAGAGAGGTGGGGTTGGCAGTAAATTTAAAGTTGGTTGCGAATTTCATTTAAATTTAAAAAATCTCTGAGATTCGAACCCCGAAACTTTGAATTCTAAAGCGAGCTCGTTACCTCTAGACCACCGCAGCATTTAAGAACGAGAACATTGTGGTTGATATATTGATGCTAAAAATATTTCAGCTATTAGTGTGAAATTTCAAAATCTTAAGACGGGAAATTCAAACACAGCTCCGCTCAGGTCTCTTGAATGAAGAAAAAACATGCGCATTAGCACAAGATACCTTATATTTCGCTAACGGTTTGAAATAAATAGCTGTGTCGCTGACGCCAACTAACGTAAAAGCACCAGCCACGTATACAAAATCCAGGCGACAGACATGTGCATATTTGTACATCTACCGGATGTTTTTTTTAATAGCACAACTCTTGTAACTTATATACGAGTTGTCTGATCGATGTTAAATTGTATATTCAAAGAGAAAACGGGAGAATTGAATTGTCAGATTGTTACTGAATGGTAAATTCGACCTCTCATATATACCTTAGTTATAGGAGTGTGTTTAAAGACCATTACATATATTTTTTATAAAAAATACACTATAAATACGGAGACGAAATGCCGTCGGATGGAATATTAGTTACGAAGTATAAGTTAAATATTTGTTGTGTTTACTTAAAGAATTGTTAGGAAAAGGAAGAGATGTAGAATATTTTTTCATTGCTGATTTTTTTTCTTAAACATGATATAAGGAAAACTTTAACATCGCTGTGTTTTGAACTAAAAGTGGAGCAAAAATAATGACAATTCCAGATATTTAGTTTTTATTTCAACTTTAGACGCTTTTCTCTGCTGCGATTAAGTTTATGCTTGTTAGCGAGGCGACTAAGTCCACTTCTATATGCAAACCCTTTGGAGCAAATGTCGCACATATACATGTTTACTCTTTGAATAGCAGCTGTATGATGAGATGTGCTCGCGGATTATACCATTAAATACCCTTTTTGTGATCTTGTTTTTACATGGCAATTATCCAGTTTGACGTGACAGTTATAAAGTTTTTACGTGACGGTTATCCAGTTTTACGTCATGGTTATCCAATTTTACATGACGATTATCCAGTTTTACGTGACGATTATCCAGTTTTGCGTGACGATTAGCCAGTTTTTAAGTGACGATTATCCAAAAACCCCGCCACGTTTCCAAGTAGACGTACACCGTTGTTCATCAAGATTCATGAATCCAAATAAAACAGTCATATGCAGCAGGAGGAACTGCGAGGATCTTTTCCGTTGGGTATACAACCTATTGCCGCAATAAAGAAGAAAACAGTTACTTTCGACGAATCTAAAAATAAAGTGCATCTAATGAAAACGTGGACTTTTGCATCTACTGCAGCTCGCGTAGATACTGACAATTTTTCGCTATGGACAGACTTATATTTAAAAGAAAAATTGAAACGACTTCCAAAATTCTCGAGCCACTATTAGTTGAACATCCAACGAATCAATCGAATGATGAGACTGATGTAATACTGTTTGGAGTTCATTGACCTCTTTTACTCTCTTGTAGATATCAGATTACAGTTTATGCCAACGTGGTAATTTTAAAGGAATTAAGTTATTAAATTACAAGTATGTTCTGCGCATGTATTAAACATATTTTATTTTTGTTCATATTTAAATTTGAACCTCAATTTCAAAGGCCGATCACGTGACCTTAATCGAATGATACCTGATGAGAATGATGTAATGCTGTTTGCAGTTCATTTCTTTAGTCGCACATGGAATACATTTTATGTTCGTTATTTCAGTTTCACCACTACATTTGATACATTTGTATTTAACCGGCAGAATATTGCACAAAATTAGTGGGGCACTCGCCGTTATTACCTTTGAAATAAATGAAATACAGTACAGTGATAAGAATTTATCACTTTCTTCTCCAAAATTCTATTCCTCTCAACTCTCGATAATCACGTTTTAAACAAAATACCCTGTATGTACTTTTAATATAAATAATTTCTTCTTGCATGCTTAAGAAATATTATACCCGTATCTGAATAAAACTATTAGGTATCTAATTACTTTTCTTACTGAGATAACATATTAATTTTATTATTATATTTTCTGTTAATTTATAATTTTGAATTTACCGCCAATTCCGTCTAATCAAATGCTTATACACATGCGTTGTAATTTTAATACATATGCTATTTCTATTGTTCATTTTTAGTTTTGAATTTCCCGCTAATTCCACTCATATGCTGACATTGATGCAATTCCGAATAAAAACGATGTAATGCTCTTTGGAGTTCATTGACCTCCCTTATAGGTACGATTTGTGTTGACTTATTGATTTTAAAGTAATTAATTACATGTTTTGCACATATATTTTGTCACATATATCTTATTTCTATTATTTCAGTTTTTGAATTTACCGCCAATCCCCATCATGCCGAGATCTACTACGCAAGCATTTAAATTTTAATGTTACATATATTTTATTTCTTTTGTTGATATTGAATTTTGAATTTACCGTCAATTCCGTCTAATGTAATACATATATGTGTTTTCTATTGTTCATCTTTGGATTTTAAATCTCTCGTCAATTTCAATGCGGTGCTGATCGAACCTAAATCGAATGATGCAATACCGTATTAGAATAATGTAATGCTGTTTGGAGTTCATTGACCTCCCTTATCATGATTTATGCTAAAATTGCGATTTTGAAGAAACTAAGGTACGAATTACATTAGACCAGGGTCGATAATTTTTGAAAATAAAAATAATTATAGTAGGATGAAACCCATTGGAAAAGAAAGAGAATATAACAGAAATGAAAGGAAAAATAATTTACGGGCGATCTGAGGTCGGGAAGGGTTAAGGGGGTGAGTTTTTAAGGGTAAAAAACGGTTTTCCCTTGATTTCCAGAAAAACTACAAGTCTTATGGAAAAAAGTTAAATAGCAAAGTTGTAGGTAATAAAAAGATCTACAACTTTTGTATTTACACTTTTTTCACATAACCTCAAAATTTATGTGAAAAATTCAAATAACCAAGTTTTTGGTTTTTTATTTTTCTTTTACAAAAAAAAAATTTTTTCACGAAATT